GCGACGACCATCCGCGCGTCTACGGGTGCCTCTATAGGTCCCATAGCGGTAATGCCGAAACAGACCGACTCTTCGACCACGTCCAAATGGCTGCAGATTCGTTGCTACAGCAGATCCCCTCCGCAGAGATCGTGATCCTCGGCGACTTTAACGCCCATCACGCCGAATGGCTCGGTTCACGTTTAACCGATCATGCGGGGAGATCTGTTCATGATTTTGCCTTGGCATATGGTCTGACACAACTGGTTACTTCGCCTACGCGGATTCCAGATGTGGAGGATCATGCACCTTCCCTGTTGGACCTTCTGCTGACCTCTCACCCGGACGGATATCAGATTTCCGTTGACGCCCCTTTAGGCTCCTCGGACCATTGTCTTGTCCGGAGTGTGGTGCCACTCACGCTGAAATCGCGGTTGCATTCTGCAGGCTGCCGCCGTGTTTGGCACTATAGGTCAGCTGATTGGGATGGGATGCGGTCTTTCTTTGCATCCTACCCTTGGGGGCGGGTTTGCTTCTCGCCGGATGATCCCAACGTTGTTGCGGATTCTGTCGCTGATGTGGTACTTCAGGGTATGGAACTTTTTATTCCTTCCTCTGTGGTGCCCATTGGAGGCAAATCTCAGCCATGGTTTGGTCGCTCCTGTAAAATAGCATCATGCTATAAGCAGGAGTGCTACCGAGCCTAGGCTGACGCATCAGCGTCCAGGGATGTAAACACCAGCGCTCTAAAAAAAGAAGTATAATTCCGCCTCTAGGTCCTTCAAAAGAGTCATTGCCAAGGCAAAGTCAGAGCACATAGGCAGAATTGGCGAGAGACTAGTTCGTCTTCCTTCTGGAACCCGTGCATTCTGGTCTCTCGCCAAGGCTGTCCAAGGGAATTTCTGTCAGCCATCTCTTCCATCTCTGCACAGGGAGGACGACTCACTGGCCCACACCGCAAAGGAGAAAGCCGATCTTCTAGGCTCTTTCTTTGCGTCTAACTCGACTCTCGATGACGGGGGAGTACGCCGCCGACCATCCCGCGGTGTGAGTGCTCCATGCCGGAAGTGCAGTTCACTCAGCGCTCGGTTCGCAAAGCACTCCTCTCCCTGGACATCCATAAGTCGAGTGGGCCTGATGGAATCCCCCCAATTGTGCTGAGGACGTGTGCTCCAGAGTTGGCACCGGTTTTAACGCGTCTTTTCCGGTACTCCTACTCCCTAGGCGTAGTCCCAAAATCATGGAAGACGGCTTTCGTCCACCCGATCCCTAAAAAAGGCGACCGCTCAGACCCGTCCAACTACCGGCCTATCGCCATCACCTCCTTGTTCTCCAAAACAATGGAGTCCATTGTAAACTGCCAGCTCATGAGGTACCTTGAGGATCACCAGCTGATTAGTGACCGCCAATACGGTTTTCGCCGTGGTAGGTCAGCTGGTGATCTTCTGGTCTACCTAACTCACAGATGGGCGGAGGCAGTAGAGTCCAAGGGGGAGGCATTGGCCGTTAGTTTGGACATTGCGAAGGCCTTCGATCGGGTTTGGCACAAAGCGCTTCTTTCGAAGCTCCCTTCCTATGGGCTTCCCGAGAAATTGTGCGATTGGATCACCAGTTTTCTTGCAGATCGGAGCATCAAGGTCGTTGTAGACGGTGCAAGCTCCGATTGCAAGCTTATTAATGCTGGTGTTCCACAGGGCTGCGTGCTATCGCCAACGCTGTTTCTTCTGCATATCAATGATATGTTGCAAACCCGTAGCATTCATTGCTATGCAGATGACAGCACTGGTGATGCTCTTTACACCGGCCGAGCCAATATTTCTCGGGAAAACGTCTCTGAGTGCCGGGACAAACTTGTGTCTGAAGTCGAGTCTCTGCTGGACAGAGTCTCGGATTGGGGGCGACTAAATCTAGTCCAGTTTAACCCCCAGAAGACACAAGTTTGCGCGTTAACCGCTAAAAAGAACCCCTTTGTCGTATCCCCTCAGTTTCAAGGCACTCCCCTTGTTGCCTCAGCCAGTATCGGAATCCTCGGCGTCGACATATCGAGTGACGTGCAGTTTCGTGGTCACTTGGAAGGGAAGGCCAAATTGGCCTCTAAAAAGCTTGGCGTGCTCAGCAGAGCGGGACAGTATTTCATGCCGGCACACCGCCTGCAACTTTACAAGGCGCAGGTTCGGCCGCTCATGGAATACTGTTCCCATCTCTGGGCTGGGGCTCCCCCAGTACCAGCTCCTTCCACTTGACCGCATCCAGCGCAGAGCGGCTCGAATCGTTGACGACCGAGTGCTTTCCGATCGGCTCGATTCACTGGCGCTGCGAAGAGATGTTGCATCTCTTTGCGTATTTTATCGCATCTATCACGGGGAGTGCTCTGAGGAATTGTTCGGATTAATCCCAGCCGCCAAATTTCGTGAACGCACTACACGGCAAACGTCCCGATACCATCCACACCATCTGGATGCTTGGCGGTCCACCACTGTACGTTTCAAAAGGAGTTTTCTTCCGCGTACAACCTCTCTGTGGAATAATTTACCACCGGTGATTTTTCCGGACCGATACGACCTGGGGACCTTCAAGAAAAGAGCGTACTCCTTTCTAAAGGGCCGGCAACGCACCTGCAATTCCCCTGGTGTTGCGGTTGATCATGGGCGGCGGTAGTCACTTAACATCAGGTGAGCCACATGCTCGTTTGCCCCCTCTTCTATAAAAAAAAAAAAAAAAAAAAAAAGTTAACCCGCTTGCCAAGCGTGGCAACTATGACAAATATCTCCCCTATGAGGCAATCTATGTTAAGCAGTGGACGGTGTTAGGGGCTGTACCAAGATAAATTTTATAAACAATTTTATTGAGGATATAATTATGTAGATGTTTACTATATTACTTTGAAACCTCTCCGGGTGACTTGAATGAATTAGAACAAATAGAACAAACACACATTAATTAGAACAAACACATTTATTATCTAATTTTCCTGTTTTCGTGGACATAAGGTATTCATACCAGCTGACGCAGTGATGTAAACTTATTTTATGAATTACTAATTTATGGATTTTCTTAATATGTACTTGTAAAAATATAGTCAATACAAGTTGCACTGCACTTAGCAATACATGTAGCTTCTAAGCTATAGAGTATATATATATATATATATATATATATATATATATATATATATATATATATATATATATATATATGTTATAAGTCGTTTCTGAGGAACAGGCTGTTACTCGCGGAACAGACGAAGAATAAAGTGATCCCATAATGGTACCGTTTTCTTAGTTCGTTCGAGTTACGGAACCCTAAAAATATTAATAAACAAGTAACAAATACGTGTTAATGAATTTCCTTTAAATTTATTCTCAACCCACTTTCATTTATATTGCCAATTCATATGCAAACACTTTCAAGATATCACACCTTAATAAAATGGTAACATTTTATTAAACTCTATATATAAGGCTCATAAAGCTCACTGAACTTTTGAGACGAAGGTACAGTCATTGTTAAAATCTAATTATGAACTCTTCACTATCAGTCGGTTGTGAGTTCGTCCATCATCCAGCAGGGTTAACCACGTTCAGATTTTTTATTAGGAGAAAAAGTTACATATTTCTCTTTACACCGTTTGATATGTAACGTATTTGTCCAATTTAAATTACAGGCTCTTTTCTATATGTAAGGTGGTAAGGTGGGCTGGGCTAAAGTTTCAGAATACACGTTGTGTAAAGCAGCAACGTTAATGCTGCTGTGATTCGTATTCGGTTACAGTCGAGATCCAGAGATTATTTTTCTCTACTAATGAGACATTCCTTCTTAGTCAGTCTTAGTCAGGCGTGACAACGATCTTCATTGAAATACTTAATCAGAGAACACTTTACAAACACTCATAAAAAGTATTCACAGTGGCCGACTTCAATAATAGAGGACTTATAGTAAGTGAAAACTTGGTATCGAAACGAAAACCCAATTCATAATTCCACGGCGTAGCTTCACGCATGACGGCCTACAAGTCGCTGTTCAAGTCAGTAGACGAGGAACCGCCGGCGAAAAGCATTGAAAACTCGGAAAGTAGCAATCCATTTGTCTAACCTCTAATTATGCTTTCGTTATGCTATGGCGCGTTTAGCGATAGTTGTCGTGAATCCGCTCCGTCCGGAGGTAGGTGTCTCACGAGACCCTTGTGCCTAGAATTTAAAAAAATATCTTTTTTATTGATTTTTTTAAAGATTAAACATTAAGATAATCTCATTTCAAAGTATGCCCGCGAGCAAAATCGTGCCCAGATTATATTGTGGACACACCGACATCTACTTGTAAACATGGTCACGTATTATCTATTTTATCACGAAGTGGATTACGAGTATATTTACTGCAATAAAACCGAAGGTGAACGAATGTAATATAAGAACTAGCTACATTTTGTTTTTTAACTCTGTATCATTTTCTAAAGACAAAAAAAAAATAATGAATAAGTTTTCAGCGATATATTGCTATCATCAAGTAACGGTGTTGCGGTGTAACTGGGTAATTTAAGTTCGTAAAAAAATCTATAAGATTTGCCTATTTAACAGTTAATAATTATTGAATTAAGAATTAATATTTCAGTATCGGTTTTAAAAAGACTAATTTCTGGAAAAATGGGAATATTTAAAAATATTTTCTCTAGTTAATTGCCCAGGGAGCAAAAAAATTTTTTTATAAACTAAACGCCGTTCGTACATCCTCATTAATATAACTTAGCCTTAAAAGTAATAAGAAAATAATATATTTGCAAAATTAGTTTACTTAGTTTACTACTTTTGGACTCTTTAGTTACGATTGCGGTCGAATTTGAGACTTTGTCAATAAAATACAGTAGATATTTTACGTGGAAGGGATAAACTCTGCGAGATGGATTGATTTCGTGAGTAGTGATTCACAATAGTTAATTATGTTTGCATTGGTAGGTCGTTGGTTAGTAATGAGGCTATGTGGTTGTCCGCAGTGATGCAGTGTAGATAGCCGGCGGCGCCGCAGCGATGCCGCTGCCGAAGCGCTGCGTGGAGCCGGTGCACGTGTCGCGCGGCACCGTGCCCGAGCGGCTCGCGGTGCCGTCGGAGCTCGAGGCCGTCACCAACGGAACCCTCGCGAACACTGTCAGGTTCGTATGGACAACACGCTATTTTATTACGTACGTTTGTACGTGGTAAAACCACGCTGCAGCTATATTATGGTTTGGTATAATATGGTTCACCTTTGTACAACATTTATTTTTGTTTGAGTGCAATTAAGAATTTTCTATCTATCTATCTATCTGTGGTTATAGCACAAAAGGGTCGGCTCGACCGGGGTAGGACCACGCTCTTACAGAATAGCAGCTTAATGCTGCTGTGTTTTGTACGGTGAGTGTAGAGTATAGTGAAATGAGGCATTTCATCTTAGTCCTCAGGGGTAACAACGCATATGCATTTTGATTCTTAATTAAGGATAAATGTAGATGTCAATGGGCCACTGTATGTCCACGTTTATATGTTATACGTTTATACGTGGTAGAGTTATGCTGCAGTTATATTAGTAGTATAGTTGTAGCACGAATGGGTCGGCTAGACAGGGGAAGGACCACGCTCTCACAGAATACCAGCGTAAAATAGTAGCTTAATGCTGCTGTGTTTCGTATGGTGAGACCCTTTTTAGTGGAAACGAGGCATTCCATCTTAGTCCTCATGGGAGACAACGCATCTATATTTTGATTTGTAATCGAGGATAGATGTAGATGTCTATGGGCCACAACAACCACTTACCATCAGGTGGAGTCTGTGCTCGTTTGTCACCCTATTCTATAAAAAAAATTACCATCAGATGGTTTTTGCGCCATTTTGTCACTCTTATCCTATATAAAATAAAAAAGAAAGACGATTGGAAGGCTGTGGCTATCGAGAGCTGTTTACTGGCACTTAATCTCCTACGTCCAGAACGCCCAATACTGCGCTTGTCATTACGAGGCCTACTCGAGAACCTTAATTCCCCGTTAGTTGTAATTCTTTTAGCTATGTGGCCAGCTAAAATAGATATAAAAACATTTTACTCATATTTAATTATTATTTAGTTACGTTCACACAAACCAGCAAGTTATGCCACAATATTAATAAAAAATTGCAATTCTTATGAAATAAATTTATTCGAGGCGTATCTAGAATTCTATGTCTTGAATATTTATTTCTTTTTCCGCAATCTGATAAGTCATAATACTGGCAAAAGCAAACTCAATTTTACATTTTACATACAAAGTCAATGTTAAAGTACTCTAACAAAAAGGACAGAAAGCACAATATAAAGAAATGGTTCTTATTATTACAGACAATTGTCATCACTATCGAAACATGCGGAGGATATGTTCGGAGAGCTGACTCGGGAGGCCACAAACCTGGCAGAGAGAACAAACATATTGCAGGCTAGGATAGACCGGCTAGCGATTAAAGTCACACAATTGGATTCCGGCGTCGAAGAAGGTGAGCAAGCATAATAAGCATAAACACTCACGCCTGTCACCCAGAACCCCTCTGGGTGACAGGCGTGAGTGTTTAGGCAGAGACCACGGACTTCCATTTGACACGCTCCTGACATACCTTCCAATATACGCATACATGCTCGTCGGTTAAGGGTACTTTTAACGTGGCCCATTTTCAAAATATCGCCAATTTGGTCGATAAACTTGTTTCTAGGGCGTCCCTTCCTGACTCTGCCGTTCACATCTGCCATATAAATTTGTTTTGTCACTCTTTCCTCATTCATTCTTTCCACATGACCAAACCACCGAAGCATTCCTTTCTTAATCCTGGTCACAACATCATCTTGCATACCACATTTATCTCTTATCATGCAATTTCTCATCCTGTCATTCAGATTCAACCCTAGCATACTCCTTAAAGACCGCATTTCTACAGCATTTATTCTACTTTCGTGCTTCTTCTGCCACACCCAGCTTTCACTACCATACATTAAAGTAGGGACTAACACAGCATTATGAATTACCATACGTGCCTTTTTTGATACATTCTGGTTCTTCACAATAGTATATATATATATAATATAATAGTGCCCCATTCACTCTATTATATCTAGGTGAGCAAGCAAAATTGTTAATTATACTATATCTAGGTGAGCAAGCAAAATTGTTAATTTTAAACTAATTTAAATCTGTTAGTAATAAGCAAACATTATTGACGAATAAGTAACCCACTATTTAGGACTGTCACGGGAACAAGACTGATGCGACGATAAACATAAACATTTGATGGAAGTGGGGAGTTGCAAGTTTTTAAGCATTAACAATTACAATTAATTTTTAAAATTAAGCATTGTGTTTACAAGTATTGTGTTTTAAGTTGAGGCCAAATACTTATTCAGTTTAAACATGATCGAAAGTTGTTTATTATGATGAACAGTGGATTTAAATATACAGTACAAACGCATATTAAGACACAGTTTTCAAGGCTAGTTAGTAGAAGGTAGCACAAAAATGTCATTTTAACATTAAAAATAGAAAATCAATGCTTTGAAAGCAAAATATAAAGAAGTCTGAACTCTAACCTCTACTCGTAACCTAGTTAATTTTAAGTTTGTCTTAAAATACGTCTTAATACGAGCAATCAAGAAAACCATCTTATTTATTTAAAAAAAATAGTATTATAATACTGTTTAAGTTCGCTTACCTAGAATTCTAGTTTTTTTTTAACTTAAAAGCCAAATTTGCACATCAGAAAATATATAGTTATATGTTTAGTGAATTAGGAATAACCAAGTCATCATCATCAAACCAGACCTTAGCCCTCTCCCATTGTAATTTGCCTTCATCACCACACTACTTGGGGCTACAAACCTTGTTTGGTAAATGCAGTACTACTAGATGTCTCGTAATTTTGGTGTTGCTTCCCGTTTATGTATTTTATAAGAAACCCGTTTTTAATCATCATCGCGTTTGGGTTGTATCTTCCAGCCAGTTGTTGTTGTTGTTGTTCGTAAAATAATGGTTAAGCAATTAAAATCTAAGCTATGGTAGGATGAAGTGTTAGAGGAACGAGGACAATAACAACATAACTTATGCCGGATATTAATATTTTCTTTGGCTGGTTTTTCTTAATCAGGACATGCATTGTAGTCAGGTACTATGACCATTAGCGAAAGTTGTCAAATATTTCAATACTCAAATAAAGCAATAAACTCATACCCTAATAACCCGTTTCAGTGTCGCTACAAGACATCCAGATGCGCAAGGCGTTCCGCTCGACGAGAACGTTCCAGCAGCAGTTGTTCTCGCGCGGCTCGATGCCGTCGGCGATGCTCGCGACGTACGCGCGTTGCGACCGCCCACCGCCGTTGGAGCGGCTCAACGAATTCCGCGACGACGGACGCGACGCAAGGAAGTTCTACACCGACCCCGATTACTTCTTCGAACTATGGCGCCGTGAGATGCTTCAGGATACTGAACGCATACAACACGACAGGGGAAAGAAGGTAAGTTAATTTTACAATCATCACCATCACTTTACCATAGTAGAATGTCGAATTTCATCGGATGAATTTCACTAAAAACATTTGTAAAGATTTGTCATAGTAGTATGTGAATACCACTGTATCCCTGTAATTCTTTTTGCAATCATGCTCATTCATTAGTGGTCTGGAAGAAACTGCTGTCAGCAATAAGGATCGTCCATTACGTACTTCTAATACATAATTTATGTATGGTAGAGCCATGCTGCAGTTACATTACTAGTATAGTTGTAGCACGAATGGGTCAGCTCGACTGGGAAGAACCACGCTGTCACAGAATACCAGCGTGAAATAGTAGCTTAGTGCTGCTGTGTTTGTATGGTGAGTGTAGAGAACCGGAGACCCTTTTTACTGGAAAAGAGGCATTTCATCTTGGTCCTCACGGGTCTAGCATGTAGTCTCAGATGTCTATGGATCGCAGCAACCACTTACCATCAGGTGGAGTGTGCGCTCGTTTGTCAACCTATCCTATAAAAAATAAAACTTCTTTTGTATAATATTAGTTTTGTATGGTGCGTAATAATAATAATAAAGAATGTTAAATAAATATAGTCGATTTAATGTGAACGAGTCACGTGACTTTGAGAGGTCGATATACACAACTTTACGCTTCGCGTTGGAGGTGTGCAACAAAGTAATTATAGTGTATTGAATTTGTTTGGTGGTTGTGGCAGGTGCGGCAGGTGCGCAGCGGCGGCGCAGACGGTCGCAGTGCGCGGCGCGTGCGGGCGCCGCACTCGACGCGCGAACGCCACAAGGCGGAGGCTGTGACGCGCGGCGAGCACATCATGGCGCCCAGCCAGCTGCGCCACTACAACATCGACGCGCACACGCGCCCCACCACGCTCTACCACGGTCAGTGCACCCTGCCTGCATACATGTTACTATTTGCACGTAGTTCATGGTTGGACCCCACACTCATGTCAAAAATTAACCAAAATAGTAATTAATACTTATACTGATTAACATAGGCCTTCCCCAAGGAATGCCACAAAGTTCAGTCCTAAGCCACCTGCATCCATCGACTTTTCCATGTCTTACTAGGTTGTCACTCCATTTAGTGGGGGGCTGCTCTATACTTCGCCTACAGGTACGAGGCTGCCTCTTCAGCTTACTAATCCGTTGGGCTATGTCGGTCACTCTGGTTCTGCTGCGGATATCCTTATTTATAAGTTTGTCATGCAGAGAAGCCCCGAGCATAGCCCTCTCTATAGCTCCCTGAGCGACGTTGAGCTTCCTCATACGGCCAGCAGTGGAGGATCACTTCTCAAAGCCATAAGTCATCACTAGCACTGCTTGTACAACAACTAGTATACTTTCGTATAACAAAATATTTTCAACAAAAGTTGCATCAATTTAAACAAGAATTGCAAAGAAATCGAAGGAAAGCATACCTTCTAGTGGTCATATTTCAAACCCCAACATATCAAAAGTAGCTTTTTGTGGATGGAATCTTTTTGCGTAATTATGTCTATTTAGTCTTCCGTATCAACAGGCCCATTCTCTAACTAACTGTGTACAAAATTAAAAATAAAATAGATTATTTATGTTCTAAATCGAATTGTCTGTCTCTCTTTCTTAAGGAAAGATTTGATTATTCCGCGTAAAATGTTAGTGAACGTTTTAATTGTACCAATAACTATTTTTCAATTGCGATAATTGATAAGTCTGAAAGACGCTCTTGACCTTGTGTATTTTCTCAACAAAGTTGAAAGATTTTACCTTTTGCTCGCCGATTAGCACTTTAACACACTTCAATTCATAACAAGAAACACTATTATTCTCCATTTTCGCTAAAATCTATGAAAATCATAAATTTGCAACTCGCAATATTCATTCACTCCACTTTCACATCACGCAATACACATTCACACACTTGAGTAAACAAACAGTAAAGATTGAAAATATAAAAAGCCTGGCTTTTTGCTTCATACTAATAGCTATATAAACATTTCGTAGTTATATTTCATTATAGAACATTTTGCCACAGGTTAGAAAGGGAGCGATCGTCTTCTCGAAAGCCCGGTAAAAAACTCACGCGTGTGAGAGAGACGACTAATCGCTTAACTCCTTTTTTATGACAGCAGTGTCGCTAAGGCTAACTAGTTCATGACATGTGTAGAACAGAGCAGCGCGCGGGAAATTTGAAATAGTTTGAAACAGTTTACGAGTTATTTTATTAGTTGAAATTATTGATTGAGCCGCTTGATAGGGCAAGCCCGGCAGAAAGAAATGTACTTTTTTTCTCAACTAAGTATTCAAAATTAATAGTTTCATCATCATCATCATTACAGCCCTTCACAAGTCCACTGCTGAACATAGGCCTCCCCCAAGTAATGCCACAAAGCACGGTCCTGAGCCACCTGCATCCATCGACTTCCTGCATGTCTTACCAGGTCGTCACTCCATCTAGTGGGGGGTCGCCCTACACTACGCCTACCGGTACGAGGCTGCCACTCGAGAACCTTTCTTCCCCATCGGTTATCGGTTCTTCGAGCTATATGGCCGGCCCATTGCCACTTCAGCTTACTAATCCGTTGGGCTATGTCGGTCACTCTGGTTCTACTGCGGATATCCTCATTTCTGAGTGTATCACGCAGAGAAACTCCGAGCATAGCCCTCTCCATAGCTCGCTGAGCGACCTTAAGCGTCCTCATACGGCCAGCAGTGAAGGACCACGTCTCAGATCCGTAAGTCATCACTGGCAACACGCACTGGTTGTACAATCTAGTTTTTAGAGATTGAGGTATACCTGACGAAAAGATATGCTGTAATTTCCCGAACGCTGCCCAGCCGAGTTGAATCCGTCGATTGACCTCTCGGTCGAAGTTGGACTTACCTAGTCGGACTATTTGTCCCAGGTAAACGTATTCGTCAACAACTTCGAGCATAGTGCTCCCAACAACTACCGGCATAGGTGTGACATGGATATTGAACATGATCTTTGTTTTGTCCATGTTCATCTTAAGACCTATCCGTTGGGAGGCACTATTGAGGTCATTGAGCATAGTGCTTAAGTCCTCCAGCGATTCTGCCATAAGGACTATATCGTCGGCAAATCGAAGGTGAGTGATGTACTCGCCATTGATGTCAATACCGTATCCTTTCCAGTCCAGTAGCTTGAAAACGTCTTCCAATGCAGCGGTGAAGAGTTTCGGGGATATAACGTCACCCTGTCTTACACCTCTCTGCAGTTGGATAGGTTTCGAGCTCTGGTTCTGTACTCGGATAGCCATCGTAGCCCTACTGTACAAACACTTCAGCACTTCGATATACCGACAGTCAACTTGGCACCGCTGAAGGGACTGTAGCACCGCCCAAATTTCGACGGAATCAAAGGCTTTCTCATAGTCCACATACGCCAGGCAAAGTTTCATTTATTCATTTAAAACTTTGCAAAAATTAATAGTTTGCAAAGTTTTAAATGAATATACTGAAAAAAAAAATATGTACTACACGAGTATGGCAAGTAACTTTATTAAGATGGCACGTTTAATGAGGATTAAAATATGGTATAACACTTGCAAGATTATTTGTTAAATTATGGAAAAAAAATACTTTTCTGTTAACTATTATGACTTGACCTATCACCCGATTCCGGCTTGATGTAGACTTCTGGGACAACCTATATATTTTATTCATCTTCAAAAATAAGCGAATGGAGGACAAACAAAATTGTCAAAGTTAGACCGATTTTGCTATGTCAAAACTCAAAAACCAAACTACTTAGAAATCGACTATTTTTTCCACATCATATGTACTATTTATACTATTTGTACCATTATATACTATTTTTAACAACAAATAGTGTACTAAACTGTGGCCAAGGAATAACCTATGTATTTAAGGGGTGGCAATACAAACCATTTTTATTATTAATCAATAAATGTAGGTGTCTATGGCCCACAGTATTCATTTATCATCATGTAGACTGTGTGCTTATTCATCACCCTCATTCTAAAAAGTGTGCTCAACATAAAAACATATTGATCAGAGTGAGTTTGCAATAGATTCAAATTAACTTTGATTTTATAGTAATATTTTAATTTTCGTTTCAGCTACCAACGTCACAGATGGAGGTTACAGAGCGCCTCAGAATCGGCCACCCACATCACAACCAGCAAGACCCAACTCCATAGAGATCGAGAATCAACAGAATAGACAGCCTCGACTCACAGGGAACGGACATGGTCAGTGCTTCACTTTTAAAATGGTTGAACTATCTTCATTTGTTTATCCATTTTTAAAAACTTATTGCTGGATCTATATCCAGTAGTAGGTTTTTCAAAATTGCGCCAAAAACGCAATCACTGTAAATTTGTCCTAACCAGCTTTCATACCTAGCATATGTATGTAGGCTGATAAGCGCAGAGCAGATACTTTTACTAGTAATGTCGCTCCCGATTACCAGTCGCTGAAATTTGATAATGAACCCTAGTTTATAGTATTATCTTATATAAAGACGTTTATTGCAAAGGACAGTGGTAAAAAAATTGTTGATAGAATTATTAACCCCTCAGTCCCCTTAAAATTCTCATGCGCCCGGCGAATCCCGAGCGGTCGCATGCGACCGCACCCACCCGCAGCACTTAAAACCATTAAAACCTATATTTGGAGACTACTTTTCTATGAAGAAGTTTGGAATTATAAAATTTATACAAAATTCTCTATATAAAAGTCAGGTTTTAGTTCATTACAAAAAGACTATTGTATTTTGATAAACAAAACATACCAAGCGAATGTCGGCACCGTGAAAATCACAATTATTTCAATATATATATATTACTCGAAATTATTTACGTAAAAAGTTAAATTATATTCACACAAAAACTTAGATTACAATTTTATAATAAAAACTATACTAAAACACTAGAAAAATCCGAAAATCAACACAATAACATTCACGCGAAAATGGCGTACGTAATAAACGTAGATTATAAATAAATATCCATAGCATAACTATTTTTTATTCCACTAGAGGATATAAAATTTCATATTGATTCTATAATGCCAAACTTCTTCATAGAAAAGTAGTCTCTAAATATAAGTTTGGTGTAAAGTGCTTTAAAGTGGTTTAAAGTGCTGTGGGTGTGTGGAGTCGAATTCGACCGCTTGAATTTTGACGGAATAGCGCCGCGGTTGTATTCGACCGCTTAGGGGTTGAAGGGTTAAGCGTATATAGGTCAGTTAACTAAAGCTGGCATATTCACAGTACTCACACTTATGCAATTTCTCTATACAGTATGTTTAAAAATAAACGATTTTGGTTCAAACTGCGACTCTAGTCTAAGTGTAGATTAGAGTTAGGTTTTAGTAAGATTAGGTGCGTTGTGGATAAATAAATAAAAAATATGTGTGGCTTGCTATAATATATTATAATTATTACCTTATTGCTTTTGATCAGAATCATAAATTAAATCTTCTACCGCACTCAAACTTTCATCGCTCGAAGAACTTGATGTTTCACCGTCGGAATTTCCTAGTGTTATTATAAATCTGTGAAATTATCCACTTTTAGTTCCAGGTGAATATATTTTTCCTAATGTCCTCTCTCTCTTTTCTCCTCATGTCTTTCTCCAAACATCACTAAACATATCAAGAGTAATGAATCTGCTTCTTTACAAAATAATTCTTCCACAGTTTTCAAGTTAAACTTAATGTTTTGTGATGCAACTTTCGCGTTAATTATACCCCACAGTAACTATTGGTTGAGTTCTGGATGTTTTGGGTTTTGGGGTTACTGGTTTGTTTTTACAGCGAGCGTTAATCGTGGTGATGTATACTATTTCACGAGATTGTCTTGTTAAAGTTTTGCCGGAACCAATTCTTTCAGAAGACATTTTATTCTAAACTCCAAATATGTGAAAAATCAAAAGTGCCGCGCGTCGATCACACGTGACTGACGCTAACGGTTAGATACCAAAAATACCACGCTGTATTTATAAACAGTATCAAAAGCAAAACATCACTGTCCCCTTCACACTGATAAGCTAGATCGTGCGAGAAAGAGACGGGCAGACTTCATGATGCGCATGCTGTGCGACGTAACGCCAAGGACTTATTCACAGACACTACACAAGTGCAACATGGAAATGTGTTGTACGTGCCAGCTTTAGTTAACTGAACTATACTTATCCATTACAGATATTAATAAAATAATTTACTATGTTTTTATCTAATCAAGCTTTTGGTCTATCGAAGTATGGAAAAAAATCATCATGCTTAATTTAAAACTAAATTGACTAGTTGTAGCAAATTGTTGATGGAATTATAAAGTATCTACTTATGTCACCATTACAGATATCCATAAAATAGTTTATTATATTTATATAATACAATAATTATAAATATAGTAAAATAATTATAATAAAGTAATTGATTATAAAATGTTTAAATTCCACCATCATAGTCTTATGGTATAAGACCTTTGTGAATAAAATATACATCAGACTAGACAGTCTGATGTGTATTTTATTTACAAAACTACTAAATATACTAATGCGTTATTTCAGCATTCCCTCTATGCTAGTAATTACTCTATATAAGCATAATTGAAAATTATATTGACTAAGGCAGGCAAAGATCTTATATAATACGGCTTAGTCTCATGCGAATTTTGTTCAAACTGGAATATCTTTAATTTCTGACTTCCTGCAGTAGTATGACTGAAGAAAAAATTGTTCAGGATTTCAAACTATATTTTCACATATTTTTCATTTGTAGATGCAAGGCAAAAATGTCAACAAAAATGTGTATAGGTGTTCGCCCTTTTATCTGTAAATCTCATCCACATAAGCCTTAATAGCTCAGATGGGTGTCTCATAGCCCTTAACTTTATAGCTACTCGAGCTATATCTGTATTGTGAACTTATCTCGCACCATGCGGGGCAGGAAAATAACCTGAGAAAATCTGTATACAAAATTAAATTTGTTTCGAGGTTGAGTTCGTCAGTATTTATGAGCCTATGATTCAGTCAGTCATATTGATGCATTTTTCCTGACTCAATTTGACCGCGGCGAAAATGTATGTATTACTGAAAGCTGTCAACTGCGCAGAAGATAATATTATATTGTCAACAGTGCAGCCACAAACCAAAGGCACTCGCTCTCATCCTGAATGATTCCTTAGCTCTTTACTAATGCATATCGTATATAATACATATTGCATCCCGTATCATCTCGTGAATGTTATAAGAGGCGACAAAGGGAAAGTTAAACAGGAAATGGGTGCCAGTATTCTCATAATAACAATGCAAAGTATGATGAACTCTGGTTGTTAACCTGCCTGCCGAGTGTGACTTCTACATCAAATATTTTAGAACCTTTGATTTGGTGTAATGAATGAATGGTTGAATTGTATAAATAGATTCCAACTTTATAGATTAATATTGTGTTAAAAAAGGACAAATAATAATTTACTCATGTCTTAGCACAAATGTTAACGGTACCTGTAGATCAGTTATTATACAACATGTAAAAACAAGTTTTTGTAGTCTAATATGACCAAAAATAGTCCAGCACTGTGGTTATTGGGTCATATTTTTGCCTTTATTTATTAAAATGTATGTAATTGTATTGTAGTGATGGGCGAGGAGAGTCCGTACGGTACGGCGGAGCCCATCTACGGCGGCAGCATGGCGGGTACGCCGCGGCGCGCGCGTCCGTCTGTGCCCCCGCCCGCGCCCCCCCGCGCCGCTCTCGCCGCCCGACGAGCCCGCCAGCCTTACGCCCACCAGGTAACCACCACCTCTTTGATTTGTGGACATAAACGCGACTTCTGATCCATGAGGTCCTGAGTTCGAATCTAATAGAAATATCGGTTATAAAGTGATAATGAAAATGTCAGTTAAGTATTCAGTTTTTTCTGTCAAGGAATTCTCATTAGCAGCTCAAACCATTGGTCCTGCGCTTGATCTCTCCGGTCGTGTCGGTTTGCCATCCCATCGTACTATGATAGTGGGGGAATATAGAGCGCACCTGTGTATATATAACTAATACAAGTTATGCACTATAATCCTGTCATGCACTAATGACTAGTCAACGTCGAGATTGACTGCCGTAACCGATATTTGATCTTGAGGACATATATATTTACAAGTGGTACTTTAATTTGCAGGTCAGCGCTGCCACCGCCGCCGCCGCCGCCCGAGGCCGGTTCGCCGCCGCCCATGCTCAACGGCGCCTCGCCGCCCCACCGCACGGCGCTCGACGCACACCTCGACCAGATGCATGCCGTCATTGGTAAATTGTTAACATGTTTTTATACAAGTAATAACAAACGAGTCCACCAAACGATAACGATAGTCCACAGTATGAGAATGGGCGGTTTTCAATTCACCGGTACGGCGCCGATGCTGGGGTTTTCTTTTTTCCACTGCGCTGGTGTCAATGCCGGTATATGCTCTGGATTTGGGAAAAACTAAAACTTACTCCTGTTCTACAACATGTAAAAATTGCCATCAAGTAAGAATGATTAAAATGAAAGTAAGAATTTATTTTAGTTTTATTACTTGGTAGAGCCACGCTACAGCCATATTATGGTTATATCACAAATGGGTTAACTCGACCGGGGAAGGACCATGCTCTCACAGAATACCAGCGTAACATAGTAGCTTAATGCTTCTGTTTCGTATGGTGAGTGTACGGAACCGGAGATCTTGTTTACTGGAAAGAAGGCATTTTATAAAAGTCCTCAGGGGTGACTGTGCATTTGCATTTTGATTCTTAATCAAAGTTAAATGTAGATGTCTATGTCATCCACTTAAGATAAGGTAAACATGTGTTATAAATACAACTATGTCGCTGTTCTAGTGGTCGTAAACACAATTGCTGGTCATTAGGTCGCGGGTTAGAATTCCGGGTCAGGCCAAAAAAAATCTATTATTGAGGTTTTCTGTCAAAAAATTCTCAGTAGCTGCCAGGAGTCAGAAGTTGGTGATGTTTTATCCATGAGATTTTAACAGATTGACTGAATGAGGCTTGCCGACCCGTCTGCCAAGCATTACAACTTTTTTTTTATAGGATAGGGTGACAAACGAGCACACAGTCCACCTGATGGTAAGTGGTTGCTGTGACCCATAGACATCTACATCTATCTTCGATTACGAATCAAAATGCAGATTTGTTGTCACTCATGAGTTTTTTGAAGGAGGGGGGGGACTAAGATGGAATACCTCATTTCCAGTGAAAAGGGTTTCCAGTTCTCTACACTCACCATACGAAACACAGCCAGCATTATTAAGCTGCTATTGCGAAAACCTGTATGAGGGCCTGTGTTCAGCAGCGAAGTTTTATAGTTGTAATGGATGTGGACGGGAATGTATGACGTGCGTTGTGTGCGCAGGCATGATGTCGACGGAGGAGTGCACGCAGCCGCCGCCACCGCCGCTGGCGCCGCCCGCGCCCAGCGCCGCGCCCGCGCCCGCGCCGCCGCCGGCGCCGGCGGGTGCGGGGGGAGCGGAGGGCGGCGCGGCGGGTGCCGAGCGACCGCGCGCGCCGTCGCCCGGCGCGCTGGCGCGCGGCGCTTCCGCGCTCAAGCCGCCGCGGCCCACCGCCGAGCCGCCGCACCACGACCCGCGCTCCGACCTGCTCAAGGCCATCCGCGACGGTACCTTTCTTTTTTATTTATTTTTATACAATTATGCGATTCACAGACTTCGCAGATACGATCATATTTTGTCTGCGTATAAAAACTTAATTATATGAATGTATCACACACTTTCACACATATCACATTCATTCACTCAAAATCCTTCAAACTTACTGGTGGCGCTAATGGTTGCTAATTTTAAATCTGGAATGAAAGGCCACAAAATGGTGCGACGATAGGGTTCCTGGGTTCGATACCCGGGAACAATGGCCTCAAACCATTGGGTGCAAGAATTTCGAAAGTGTATTGTATTTAGCGTGGTTGGCTGTAACTTAAACAATATGGCGGTCGTGGCACGTGGCGGGTTTTGGACAATGCACTTGCTGAGACTTAAATTACTATATTTAGCTGGCAGGTCAGGAGCATGAGCTGCTATAGGAAAACTACAACAAATAAGAACAGCTCAAAATAGGAGCGGACGCTTACTTGGGCTTGGTCTTCTCACGACCTTTTTCTCAGGCCTCTAGGTTGATGGCACTGAGTTGTAACTGCGGTGGTGCTCGACGACGAATTATTTGTACTAGCGCACGGCGATAAAAGCACTTGTACTAGCGGTCACTATGAAATTGTTTTGTTCTGTGGCTCAACTGCTACAGGTGCTATCACATCTAAGGTCGAGCTTTAACTGCTAGGCGGCGGCGCACGTCGACAACTCTGGTCGGCCGGCGGCGTGTTCCGGCCCCTTTCACTTTTCTGTCACCTCCTATTGCCGTGCCTGCGTAGTAAGGAATCGGAAGTGAGGAGGAAGGATATTGCCAGCTAATGTAATTAACTAAATATGTGTTTCGGCGCAACCACTTACTAGACGTGTTTTTAGATGCGAATTATTCATACACAGTGTTACCTACCATGAGTTGGCGTATATTGCTTCTAGATTTGCTAAACAGCTCGCCGGAATAGAATTCAGATTTTGATTTTGATTCACGTATTGAATTAGCATTTACTAAGAGGCGAAGAATTCGGATAAAACGTCATGTAAAGCTTAAAAAGGACCAAGGCGAACTTAAGCGCATTTTTATCTGCAGGTAAAATCCTATACCATATTTGTATCTGCAGATAGTATTGTCACAAATCTTTCGATATATGTCGGAGCTTACACATACTTAACGATAAAGTATAAGTTATCTGCGCTGTGTGTTAGTTCGTTGAATTTCATAGAGAGCGATATTGAAAGATACGTGCTCAAATACATATATCTTATCGTATCTGCATAATGTGTAACTTTAGAGTTTTAGAGTGACATTTAATCTCATTTTGTAATTAATCTCAGAACTTTAGTTGTAACGAAATGCTTAACTGTTCTTTTACTTGTTGTAATAAATTTCAAGTTTGAGAACTAACAAAAATATGATTAAAAATATTATAATTAAGTTTAAGTATACCTAATGTATCTGAGTAAGGTCGTAAAAAAGTGTAAATAATGCACTGGAAGATATAACATACGATAACACAATAACGTACTGGAATAATATAAAGGTCAATGTTCACTTGGAAATAGGTTCAAGTAAAATCTATTTTAAAATATTATCTATTACTTATTTTCATGAAATTAAGATTAAATAATCAAAAACGAATCTTAGACTATGTATAGCTTGTATGTTTGCGAAACTAAACACCAAAATAACACAACACAGTAGAATTAAAGCCTTTAAAAAAATAATGTGCCTACAATAAACAGTAGGTACTAATCAAAGCAGGTTATTCATAAAAGAAATATAACGAATTTAACAAATATGTATTTACAGTTTACAATTAGTACAGATACCGTAATTATTACCATTTATCACAGAATTTTGTTTTACTGTTTTTTTTAATTATAAGGGCTATCCCATTTGACACTATTCGCGTTCGCACAGAGCCAGATTTAAGAAGAAATTGAAATTTAAAAATTCGTTTTTTAATGTAATTAATAGGCGAACTATAATATAGTATTAATTTAATAAGTAATGGTTTAAAAAAAACTTTTTGTCTAATAAACTCAGCATACAAATATAATAAAGCCACATTAAAAAAGGTGTTTTTAATAATAACTTATTTATATTTTGCCAATTAATAAAATTAAAAAAAATGCTTCTTATCATTTAAACATTTTTTTTTATTATGGTCCTGTGCGAGTGGAAAACTTGACGAAAGGCGACGTTTAATTAAAAACGGACCTAGTTCGGCTACTGAGGGACCACTAGTAATAATAAATCAGAATAGTATAACACTCCACTCTTTTGTAGGTACGTCAGAATAACATTACACCTTTTTCATTTCACCAGGTTAAGTTATGTGAACAGCCTCCTTTATAACATTCCAGTGTGTGACATAACAAACACCATAACACACGTAACGAACTGGAACAAACACACTCGAAAATTCAAAACTCAACAATGAATACCGGTCATAAATCATGCGCGATTTACTTAATAAAACTTGACATACACTGGTAATTGACCATAAATTTCGAATCACAAACCTAGTAAACGATATCTTTGTACTTCTCACTTAGAATTTACATATACGCTGCCCGAAATTTGTGCTCTAAATTATGGAATTTACAATTATTTACGGTCACGACCACAAATGAAAAAAATATGTCAAAACTGACATTTGACAGTAAGCCTACGGCATTGCCTCATCGAAATTAGGTAAATAATGTTGTTTAATGTTGAAAACAAAAAATCTACCCCATATCGAATCGGAGTAACACACTGGATAACTTTTGGAGACACAAATTAGAATAAGATTTTTTTCCACTAGCATTGTATTATTGCAATAATTTATACATTATCACACGGCATCTTTATTGCTTTCAAAGTAAACTACAATTTTAAAACCATAATGCTATATTATTTTATTGTGTTGCATTTTTTCGTCCCGTAAGTTGATAGGAGATAAATAAATTTTGTATGCAGCTTTATTTTGTTGATTCAAAAATATTTTTTGTGTTTAAGCGTCTTGAATATTATAGTTATTTCTACATTATTCTAAACATGATTATCAATGTTTTATTAATTGATAATATTATCATACTTTTTGTTAGCGTATGGTATTCACAATCAAAGATGGACCCACTCAAAACTTTCAAAAAATATATTTTATTACGACCTTACCCATCTGCGAACTAACGGAATGACGTAATCACATTGTGATTAAGCTTATTAATAAATAATTTAAAAAAATTCAGATACGACAAAATGTTGCAAATTAATAATAATAATAATAATAATTTATTAAAAACTCTTGTAGTACATATAAAAAAAAAATCTTACATGAGATACATTACAAAAATACTAGTAAGGTTGACGTTCTGTTCTCCTTGCTAGACTAAGAAATAGCCTGTATTAAGGAGATTCAGTCCCTTACCCCCTTACAAAAGTGATCAGAAAGCAAAAATTGCTCTTAACTTTTTAGTACTACAGATTTTGTGTGTGTGTGTGTGTGTGTGTGTGTGTGTGTGTGTGTGTGTGTGTGTGTGTGTGTGTGTGTGTGTGTGTGTGTGTGTGTGTGTGTGTGTGTGTGTGTGTGCGCGTGTATGTGTGTGTGTGTGTGTGTGTGTGAAAGAGAGAGTGCGTGTGTATGTGCGTGTGTGTGTGACCTCATAATATAATTATGTTAATATAATATAAATTAGTTAGTTAATAAGTACTGTTCTGTCTCTTCATAATTCTTGTTTAGTAGGAAGGAGTACACGGCTTTCTTACATTTGTAATTAGATAGTTCATAAATAGAAATATTAAAATTGATCTTATTATAAAGAAAGGGACCGAAATATGAGAAAAACCTTTTCGCGAAATGAGAGGAGACTGTCGGAATACTGCAGATTTTGTCATTACGCCTCTTGGTAATTTCGATATAAGGAACCTTACGATGTTGTAACATCACTGTATGTAGTATAAACAATTGTCTTACATTAAGAACGTTATGATCTTTGTAGAGCTGAATTGTCGGGTATAATATGGGTCGAAAGGCCATGATCTTTAAAATTGATCTGTGTGCGATTTCTAAAGGTTTCAAGATAGTTTTTGCGGCACCACCCCAACATGATATGCAGTAAGATATGATAGAAAGGCAAAGTGCAAAATAAACGTTGCGTATGATACTCTGATTAGTGACGTGACGAAGTGATTTGAAAATAAAGATTAATTTACGGACTCTGCTGGTTAAATCTTCAATGTGGACTTTAAAATTTAGGGTTTTATCTAGAGTTATGCCAAGATATTTGACTGTGTCGACCGAATTAACAAGGGGACAGTGGCAAGCTTGTTGATATTGGTAATGGCATGAGTGGGCTATTAATTTTACTGGAATTTTAGGTTGTGATTTTGTAGAGATAGAAAAAGCAACGAATTTAGTTTTCGCTGTGTTTAAAGTAAGGGTGTGTGCACGAAGCCAATCATATGTAATATTAAAGCCACTTTGCGCAATTTCTTGGAGTTCAGTCCAAGTACCTGCAAAGAAGGTAAGGGCGGTGTCATCAGCATACGAAACTATCTTAGAGTTATTGACTTTAATATTACAGAGGTCGTTAATGAATATCAAGAAGAGAGTTGGTCCGAGTATACTACCCTGGGGCACACCGTAAGATATAGAAAGTTCATTACTTGTATAGTTGCCTATCTTTACCCTTTGAGTCCGATCTGAAAGGTAGCTACGGAAAAAATCAAGTTGAGAACCCCTGATACCTATATTTTCTAGTTTTAATAAGAGAGTATTGATGGGAACCGTATCAAAAGCCTATAATTTGCAAAAAAAAAAAATCCAATTTTTTAAATAAATAAGAAAGAACTATGGTAGTAAGTGGATGCTGTGGCCCATAGACATGTACATTCTATCCTCGATTAAGAATTAAAATGCAGATGCATTAAGGACTAACATGAAATACCTCATTTCCAATACAAGGGGGTCTCTAGTTCTTTACACCCACCAAACGAAACACGTTAACTCTGTGCATCTGGCCACGCGCCCCACACTGCCACATAGATTTTGTTCGCGATGTCTGTCTTAGAACGTAATACTAATTATTTCAATCGTTATAATAAAAAGCGCGAGTCGTGAGCACCAAGTGACAATTTTTGCGCATGTACTTTTGCCAGCGAATATACTGCCGTCGAATGTCACATGAATGTCCAATGTGTGACGAAGATTAACTAACGGACAAATCACATGGAATAATGTTCAAAGAACCGACCCCTCGCACGTGTACTTCACCAAAGAGATTTGTCCACTGCTGAACATAGAGCTCCCCATAGATTTTCTCATATTTGCCATAATTACTACGCTTGGCAGGTATATTTCTCTCAGTCGCTTCTTACGACATCCACGAGACGATATGGAGGTTGTGTAGGGGGTATTTCATTTTAACACGCTTATATAAGCAGCTAACTTCAACAGAGACATTCCGTTGTCGCCCCTGAATACTAAGGAATGTCTCACAGCCTGTTATTACATTGGCTGGAATAGAACACAACAGTACATGCAGTGCTATTTGGTGATATAGTTATCATCATTACAGGTTCTCACAAGTCCACTGCTGAACATAGGCCTCCCCCAAGGAATCCCAAAAAGCATGGCCCTGGGCCACCTGCATTCATCGACTTTCTGCATGGCTTACGAGGTCGTCACTCCATATAGTGGGGGGTCGCTCTACACATCGACTACCTGTTTCATGCTGCCACTCGAGAACTTTTTTCCCCATCGTTTGTCTGTTCTTCGAGCTATATGGTCAACCCATTGCCACTTCAGCTTACTAATCCGCTTTTTTGGTGACAGCCCAATCTATAAATAAACACATCAAACATTATCATTATCAGTTCCGGTTTGTACCAAAGAAACAACATAAAACATTGTGGGGCCTTGTGGTGCAAGAAACAGAAAAAGTTATGGCCATAAATAAGGTCGCATGCTATAGTCTATTTCTATATTTAATTAATGTAGCATGCATTCCTGTGGCATTTCGTATTGTTGAACGTTACTCCGTAAATCGGGTCTTACAGTTTTTCACAAGTCCACTGTTGAATATGGGCATTCCACGAAAAAATGTCACAAAACACGGACCTTAGCCTGTATTGAAAAAGCGAACTAAAACTTCCTCATACAAGTTAAGGGCGAGGTCTCCGATCTAAGTACATGTCATTACTGGCAACATGCACTGGTATTTGTAAGCAGGTGTCCTTGGTGGCCACTTATCATTTGATAAGGTGATCAGGTGGAGATAATTAGTCAGAACAGATTGACATTTTGTTACACTATATTAAGGAAATGGTGATTGCTGATTGCACAATGTCTAAATTATGTGGATGTGGTTCTCCATAACTGGTTTGGTTTTAATGTAAAAGGTATTATTTTTTAACTTTATTCTGTTGTCTCAGGCATAAAACTGCGCAAAGTCGAGAAGCGTTGCGACGAAAACACCGGGCGCTACGACACGCTTCGTGGCGCGCCCGCTTTCCTCGACGTGGCTTCGATTCTCGCCCGTCGAGTGGCCGTGGAACTGAGCGACACGAGCTCTGGCGCTGACTCGGACTCCGACGACTCCGACCAGTGGACGGAGTCGCGAGCGTGACGTCGCGCCTCCCCGCGCCGTGACCCGCCCGACCCCACCCTCAAGCCCCCCTCAGCCCCCCTGACCCACAGCTTCCTGATCCCCCACCACCTGATCCCGGAGAGGCCGTTCCTATCAAAATAAAAGAGAACGAACAGAACACGGCACACGAGCAGGCGCGAATCGATAACGAGCCGAAAGCGGAAGAGTGTTATGTACGAAACTCGTCATTCTTGAGTCGCGATATTGAGGCACAAAAAGCGAAGGAGCCTTTGAAACGGGTAGTTTCACCTCCCCCTAAAGAACAGCCATCTAAAATAGAGAAAGCATCTCCCAAATTGAAAAGTGTTTCGCCACCGAAAAGTGTATCGCCGCCTAAAAGGAATATTCCTGCGCCAATAAATACTGATATGCAATTGAAAGACTGTTCAACACCACCCTTGAATAAGGAAATAACTTCTCCGCAGTTTAAAAAAATAAATGAAGCATCACTTCTAAAGAAAGACGGATCACACTTAAACACTTCTTTGCCAACCTCAGTCATTGAAGTAACTCCAATATTAAAGAAATTAAACTCTTCGCCACCAAAGATGGAAATAGTCACTTCACCTCCTGCAAATAAAATTGACTCAAAATTAGAAAATAATACCATTCCATCAAAAATTGTTGAAAAAGATTCTATATTGACTGTTAAGGAAATAACAATTAAAACAGAGAAACTTTGTTTCGCTTCTGGTAATAATGAAGTTCTAAAAAATAATGTAAATGAGAATTCAAATTTGGAGAAGCCTAATGCTGAAAACAAAAATGGAGACAGTGCAGGAAAACTAGAAGAGTCAAATGGTGTTGGGGATAAAATACGAAAGTTCGAAAAGGTTGCAGAGGATGCAAGTGCTAGTGTTGGTAAATTGTCTCGTCCCGGATCGGTTCGCGGAAAATCTCGAACTGATAGATTGGGCTCTGATAGCAAAGAAGAATTTCCACCTCCAGCCACTCCTTTCAAAGACAATGTGTTCTTCGAGTCTAGTGCTCACAGTGATAAAAATACATCAACAGAGCACCACAGAAATCATACGACCCTTGAACGCCAACAGAGTTTGACAAAGAATTCTGTTAACTTATTAAAATGGCAAAGGAGCGAAAGCACCTCGTTGGAGGGTGAAAAAATCATTCAGAAACCGGAGCCGCAAAAGATAATAAAACCAGAGTTTAAGCCAATGCCATCACCAGTCGACGTAACGATTCGCTCACCAAGTCTCGGCGCTAAAATCGCAGATCAGTTCCCATCGCAATGTACAGCTTTTCGCAATGTCGCGTCACCTGATACAGCTCGCACGGGCAGAGATAATCACAAAATTAATGAAGATGTAAATACTCAGAATAATTTTAAGACATGTAAGCTTAAAAATAAGGAGAAGTATGCTGTCAGTAAAGGATCCAGCTACTTCACTAGGGGCTCGGAAGAAATCTGGTTGGTAAAGAAAAAAGATATTGAAGAAATTGAAGAAAGAGTGCTAGATTCGTTCCGTAGAGCTGGAGGTAACTTATGTATGAGGAGTGAATCGATGCGTCCTTCATCAGACAGTGGACAGAGTGTATCGTTTTCGCATGCAACAATGGGTCGGAATAAACGACAAATGTATGCTAGAAGTGAATCTTTAGATCCACAGTGGGCTGGAACAAGATCACAGACATTAAAACGTCAATCATCAGTGGCATGTACGTGTGGGCATGATAAGAAGACCCGGGCTAAGAGTGCTGGCGCCGAAGCAAATACCCGTCCTCGTTCCCGCTCACATGGGGACGATAATAATCAATGCCACGTCCTAGACAAGTACGAAACACTTGTATAGTGTATTTAGCCCCCAATACCCTATTCCATGCACAGAGAATTGTGATAGTCGGTATGACATAGACTGCATATACTGTGTATACTGTGTATCTTTCACATACACAGAATGTGGATTAAATTGTGTGTGCATGTGTTTAATGGTGCAGTGCATGGAATAATATAATATAATTTATACATATTCACATAATCAGTTTGTGTGTACCAACATGGTATTAATATTTATTAATCAAGCAGTGGTTTATTGACTAGGCTTATTAATGGTTTAGTGGATGAAGTAATTGAAAGAATATAGCGTTACGTTTCATAGAACACCAAAAATATGACGGTAAAACATAGTCGCGAGAAATAGAAGTAGTAATATAAAAATGTCTACTCTTCTCTTTTATAAAGTATGAATATAAGTGTTGGCATATAATGTATTTTATGTGGCATTTATGTTCCAATGTTGGCTGATTGGGTGTTTGTAATATGTATTAGACTTATTAAAAGTCAATTACATGATTCATCTCTTATATCATCTAGCTGTTTACATATTGAATCTAGGCCCACCTAAGCACAATGTTATGGTGCTTCGCTTGTTGAAATTTTGGTTTACATAATTGGAAAAATCTCTTTTAATTAGCGGTTGTGAAATCCTGTTTTGAGATTTTAATATATTTTTACTTAGTATGTTACAATGCTTGTAAACAATTGAATACTTTATATGTTATTATAATGTTGCTAGTCTATGCTTGTATTGGATAGTCTATACAGTGTCATTCTAAATTGAGACAAATTTATCGTTTTACCCATAAAGTATTTTTCCTTATTAACCATTAGAAGGACATTGAGTTTTCCATCAGACTAGAGAAAGTTTAACATTTTGAAATACATAATTTTAAGAGTGCAGATTTGTAATTTCATATAATATGTGACCTGCATATGTAGTGCCAACTTCGTCAAATATTTGATTATCAGATAGCTTCCATTTTGTAATAAAATTTTGTATTAGAAACTGTCGTTATATTTGTTTTAGGTTGGTTCATGCATTAGATAATGGAACATTTTAAATTTTTATTTTCTTAATTAGCAACTTGACTTTTTCTAGTTTTTCGTAAACAGTATACAGGCTGTTAGTGTAAACACAGTTATCCTTGAAACCAGTGGTTTGGTTTCACTTATAGAAAGTAAATTAAATGAAAAATAACAACATTTTTTTTAGTAAAATCTCAATTTTTCCTTAATTCCTCAATTTTTGCCTGTCCTAAGCCAGGATGAAAGTATGAAGGAAAAGTGACATCACAGGTTATGTACCTATTGTGTTTTATTGGAATGTTGTATAGGTAGCTAGCGCAGGCGGTGATCTTTACAATGATTACGTTACTCGGGCGCATAGTGTATCCATGAATTTACGGTGTCGGACAGAAACTTTTTAAATTTTATGAAAGAAAATAGCGTTTTTTTAAATTCATCGAATTAACGTTCTATAAGTGAAACCAAACCACTGGTTTCAAGAATAACATGTTTACACTAACATTCGGTATAGCGGCTGAGAAATTGCTTGCAATTCGCTGTTTCAGAATGCATTCCAGATATTGAGTTGCTCAATATGACCACGACGCAACTATATTTTTTTTTCATGTAATGTTAGTAAAAAGAGCAACGAACATGTACCAAATTTTCTCATTATGTAGATTTATTCCTATATAGAATTAAGTTGTCAATTTACTTTAAGTATTATGAATTTATTTAACATATAGGTGTCCAGAGCTTATATTTTTTTAATATTTAATTTGTAAATTATCATATAATTTATTTTGGGTCTTTCATAACTGTTCTTGCATGCTCATGTTTGCTCTGGACATGTTTTCAATACCTGATTTTATAACGTAAGGAAAAAACCCATCTTTTTTGTATATATAACGGTTCCACTTTGTATCCAGTTGTTGATCTTAATGCTACTAAATGACCCAAAAGTGTCTCCAAATATAAGTTTAACCATGCAATACGTGTCTTCTCTTACTAGTGTATTTACGTTGAAGCAGTGTGTTATGTATGAGCAGCCAGCAAATGTAGTATAGTAGTTTTATTCCAGTTTTATCGTGATTAGCACTAAGAAATGTAAATTATAGATATAAGAGAAACAAATAAAGCATGTTTTATATTATGTAGATTATGTAAACGCCTCTTTATTTTGCCTAACTGGGCAGACGCTAATTATTTATTTGCATTTTTTTCTTAAATGTTTATGATTTTTTTAATGTTAAAATGTTAGTCCAAGAGCTGATGACGAATTTGTTTAAGGTATTTTTGGCAATTTGAAATTATAAATAACAGTATTATAATGACGTTAGTAATAAGGAATCGATAGGAAGGATCTAAAAGGACGTTTGTGTTAATTTTGCTACTGCGTAAAAAATATCCTTCGAGAACCTTGTAATTTTTATTTTTTATTTTAGCACCCATAAAATTCAAAAATAAAATTCCAGACTATTTGCAAGGTTTTGACTTATGACTTGATTGGCTCGAATATGTTTTATTAATATGCGCCAAAGGTAAACTTTGTGTACTTTGATTTTTTTATAGCAGACTCAAATTAACAAGCTTTTTCCCTCGGCTTTGCTCGCGTGTACTTTGCTCTACCATCGTTATTAGTGTTTAAAGTTAAAGTTCAGGATCAAATCTTTTTCTTTTTCAAGACTTGTCAGTGTAAATATGAAAATTATAACAACTCTATAAAAGCGCGACTTTTGATTTTCTTTTTTAGATCTAAACCGATTGAAATTGTGAATATCAGTCATTTTGCTCTATGAATATAGAGTTTGTTAATATTGACTACAGTTCCACCTATCGGATTCTAGCATAGCTTTGAACCATCGTCTCGTCAAAATAAATCTGTCTATTGTGTGAATACGACCTCAATCAGCTTGGCTTCGATATCCACTACTTTCTTCATATGAATACGCTTGTGACTGAAAATAAAATGTAAAATTTGTAATGAAACCTTATAAATTAAAAGAAAACGATACATATTTAAAATAAAAAAATAATAAAAATCCAAGGTGACTGAAGGATATTTTTCGGATTAATTTTTTGCTAATATCATACGCAGTCGCGATGTAACCGTAAACGTCCTTCGACTTGATTCCAGATTTACGTATGTCGATATATACTGTTTTTATGATTTCAAATTGTTCGAAATAACTAAAAATTTTTTAAATTTGTCATCAGCTCTCCGACTACAACCATGTCTAAAGCAAGTTGTTGTAACCGTTTTAAATATCAATTACCTATCCCATTATTAACCCGTATTTTGTTGAACTTTTTAAATGCGGTATATTGAATGAAAAATTATTTTCATTCTTGTTAAATGCTTTAAAAATGGAAAAGGTAAAAATTATAGGAGTCATTTCTAATTTCTTAAACGGTACATATTTTTATGCAAGAACTTTGTAATTCATGTAAATCAAACTATGCTTTGTACCTCGGATAGTGTCATTTCTATTAAGAAAATATTTTATAACTTGTTTATTTGCTAATACAATAAAAAGATACTCTAACCCTCGTATTTTATTTCTGTCTGCAATCTGAGAATTTAATCTTAACAGGCTGTTAATACGGTAAATCAATAGATTTAGGTCATTGTTATATTGATATAGGTAAATATAATATTGATGTCATTGTTGGATGGGTTTGATTTGATTGTTCAGTAGCACATGGGTATGGGGATTGAAAATGTTCCAGTAATACCGGTGAGAAACCAGTATTTCTGATTATAGTACCGTTTCGGATACTAAAACCATTACCATTACATATAAAGGAAAATAAAAAGATACGTGAAACCACATATCGATGTCTGTTAGGTCGCGCTACATTTGAATGCGATGACGAGGAGTGATGGAGAGATTGTAATAATACGAAGCTGCTATTGGAAAACTTTTTTAAATAAAACCTTTTTTTATGTTATCAGTTATCACGGCCGGACAGAATATTGATGTCTAACTTATTGAAGTTGGCGGGGTTTCACCACCGTGCCTCTGGAAGCACGTAAAGCCGTTGGTCCTACGCCTAATCTCTCTCCCGTCGTCTCGGATTACCGTTCCATCGGACTATAAGAGTAAGGAAGTAGAGTAGACCTGTGCTTGACACTTGACTTGACAACAAAGACACTTGGGCAATATAAGCCTGTCCTGCGCACATGACTATTCACCGTTGAGAATGACCTCCGTTACCTTAAATTCTATGTGGAACCCTCGGCGGACGGCGGGAGACATCTTCTTTATCGTGACTAAGTTTGAATATTTAGATGTTAGTACGTTATAGAATCCAACCCACGAATATACATTGGTTTAAATCAGTATACACTATACAATGTTATTAGTTAGTTCGGGCCGCTTGCAGTTTACTTTTTTATATACTATGACCACTGACGGTGAATCTATACATGTCATCATCGTTACAACCCTTCACAAGTCCACTGCTTAAATAGGCCTCCCCCAAGGAAGGTCATAAAACACGGCCCTGAGCCATCTGAATCCATCGAATTCCTGCATGTCTTACCAGGTTGTCACTCCATCTAGTGAGGGGTCGCCCTACCCTACACTTCGCCTACCGGTACGAGGCTGTCACTCGAGAACCTTTTTTCCTCGTCGGTTGTCGGTTCTTCCAGGCCTCTGTCACTTGCTACCTGCGTGAAATAATTACCTCGCAAGGCATCACATTATTACATCATCGTTGAAGCCGCACTCACGTGTGAGTAACGATCCAAGAGCAAGTCGTATCCGACACTATTCTGATGATATCCCGAACCTCTGAGCGAGATTAAAATGGCTCTCCAGCACCTTAAAAACGGCAAGGACCCAGGCGAGGATGGAATTTCTGAAAGCGGGTGGAACACCGGTACTTAAAGTCCTTTAGAAGCACTTCAATTCTGTCCTCCATGGTGGCACTACTCCGGAGGTGTGGAGCAGAATCCGTTACGCGATACGAGTTGCATATAAAATAGACATAAATCTTATTTAT